AAAAAAAAACCCAAATTCGATCTTCAAAAAAATTTTATTTGCGCGGAACTAGCCAATTGTTATCTCCTTATTTTAAACAAATAGCCAATTGTTATCTCCTTGTTAAATCTCCATCTTCAAACAATGACTAATAAAAATCCCGCCCTTTTTATTTGTTAATTGTAATGTATTACTACGTTTTGTCAACAATCAATATAAGCCCCTTGTTGTTACAGGATAGAGCATGTGATGGAGCTACTGTATTCGTCTTTAACCTGCTGTATTCGCTGCATGCGCATTTTTTCTTTTTAAGGTCATTTCCTTGTAACAAGGGATCACTGGCCACCTGTTCAGCTAAATTCTTGTTGCATGAATCCACTGCAATGTAGCTGTTAATTGCATGAAAGTTGTTAGCCCAGAATGAAACAGAACTCGTGTCGCAACGATTACGTTGAAATCAATCCCAGCAATTCCGGTTTGTCCACATTCTTTTCGTCCAGCAAGCTGCCCAGTGAGTGACGGATCCTCTAAAACTGATTGGCCGTTGGCTGTCAGTAACTGCTAATAAGCCATATCCTGAGATTTTTCGTTCACTCATTAATAAATGAGTTTTTTCTCAGGGAGCGAGCAAAGCAACTCGGCTATCGAGTTTTTACAACGGCAGCTGTGTTTTGCACGCCATTTATTTGAAAGCATGTCTTATTTCCTGTATGAAATATATTGGATTAGCTCAGGGGATCGGAGCAATACCAGTTGATGGACGCTGCCAGATTTTATCAAAACCGTGTCCATGAATCCATCAAAATAAAATGAAATGCGGCAAGCAGCAGTGTACCTTAGTTTCAGCAGTACGCAAACGGCATAATTTCCTCTTGCTGGGTGGTTCAGTTATGTCGTCATAAGCGGATAAATGGTATTCGAGACCATAAAATCGGATCGAGGTATGGCCCAAATCGGGAATGACCAACGCTGGCGTATCATTGATCGCACGACCGATTAACCTCAGATGCTCGCGCAACTTCCTGTAATTCCAGTACATCGCACAGCCTTGACAAGCAGTCGTCACGAACAGCACCACCGTGATTCGTGCTGAAAGAGCGCAAACAGCACAGATCACTAGCACTTGGTGACATTTTATCAAAAATGAAAAGTGGCTACTTACGCTTCAAACTACTATTACATTTTCCGCATTTTTAGAACAACCGTCTGTTTTCATTTTCAGAGAAAGACCTCCAGTTATTAGTTGCCATGTAAGTGCGATTTTCAATCTGTGCAAATTTCTCCGCTACTTAAGCACAGCTAACCGTTTTTGGCAGGTGAAGTAAACGTTCCTTTCTCCAACTATGGAAGGGACCCCACTATGAAAGACAAATGAGTAAATGAGGCAAAATTTATAGGATACAAACGCAAGAGAGAGCAGCTGCTTCGAACGCATGTTTGTTTTGTTGCGTTACTGCTCACGCCCATCAGCAGTGGTCAGCTGGGCAAGTTTGCAGAGGAAAATCAAATAATGCTTTGCATATATTAGGCGCATGTGTGTTTCAGCTGTCTTGCTTATTATGCTTTACTAAATTTATAATCAAATGCCAGATATATTCAAGAATTTTCAACACACTTTGAAATCGCCGTTTTGATGATAATTCTGCGCTGGTATGTACCAGCGAGTCAAACCTAACATCAGCTTGCTTATAAGCAAAGGCTTCATAGACAGTCCTGCCAGCGACTGATTGTTACTCGCATCCGCCCCTCATGGAGAGCAAATACGGAGGGGGTTTTGGCTCTGAAATCAACTAACATGAAACTGTTGTGTTTGGAGAAATCACTTTGATAACGATAAGTAGTGCCACTGAAGGTCGAATAAAATTCAACTGGATTAGTCCGTGCTTTACCCGGAGAAGCGGTGCACAGTAATGTCATCACAACCGGCACATATTTTGTGCTCATTTCGCCTGCAAAATGAAACCTGCAAATGTAAGAAAGGCACTGAATGTAGACCAGTTTCTAAAGCGCCGGAATTAAAAAAGACAAGTATGTTCATAATTAAATTTAATCATTCAACCGAAGTAGCAATCAAGAAAAATTTTTATGAATTTTAAAATTTTCTCGTTTTAGAATTTTTTATGAAGCAAAGACGAGTGAGGCGAATGGGTGGGAGAGCAGCTGAAAATTTTTAGTGAGCCTAGGGCAAGTTTTTTGCAATTTTTTTTTTTT